CCCCAAAACCCCAAAACCCCAAAACCCCAAAACCCCTTAAAAGTTGCAGTAATTGGGAACGGAGAATTAATATTTATGGAAATTAATAAAGAAGCTTGCGATAAAAACGATAGAGAATGGGGTTGTTACTCTGATACTTACCAGGCTGTGCTAGAGAACACTACCATTCAGAGCTCAATGATTTTATATAGCATCACTAGAGCTAAGGACCACTCAAGAATCTGAGAGGTGGCAGTTGGATGCGGACTAGCATCAAGGATGTTTGTCTCAAATATTATGAAGAAGAATGCTGTATACTTTGCTAGTGATATAGCTGATGGGATGAATAAAAACTATGCCGAAGGATTCAAAAACTCAGACTGAGCTCTAAATCCTAAAATTAAGTATGAATGGATAGAAGATTCAGAATCGGTGAATGTCTCAGAACTCTGTGAGAATGAAGAAAGGGAAATAGATAAAAAGGTTTTTCATTTGAAGGCTAACAATGAAGAACTTCCATATCCGGATGAGTCCTTTGATTGCTATTTATCCAGTCTTTCCCTCAATCTTGTAGACAATCACATGAACCAGCTAAATGAATCTTATAGAGTACTCAAGGAAGGGGGTACTGCAGGGTTCACCATCCTGGGAAGGTATGAAAAATGAAATTACATCACTTTTATTCCTGATGTAGTAAAGAGTCTTGGTCATGAATTTGCTCCTACTACGATAAAACACCCAGCTTATCTAGGAGACAAAGATGACTTAGAAAAGGATATGAAAAAGGTCGGATTTCGTTCTGTCAAAACTTACTATACCAAAATCAATATTTTGTTCCAGAATGAAATGGAGTTATTTAAGTTTATGGCAAACTGCCCAGCTACTCGTCATTGCCTAGACAAACTTACCGAAGAAGAGATGGAAGAGTTTATGGTAGAATACAAAAAACAATATGATGAGAAATTTGGATTTGCCACTTCAGATCCTCTTGAATGGGAGATCCTTGTTGCAATTGCAGTAAAATAAATGATTCTTTCAAGAATTAATCGCATATATTGAAACAAGATTAAGATATTTTTATTCTAATCTTTCTGCTACATTAAATACCTTCTCTATCTACAATAAACAACAATACTACCATTAAAAGAGGGTTCAAACTCAATTAGTTATTCTAAACACTGTACATACCCTATAAATAACTCTCTAAACATTCTAAAATCCTAATCTTCAATTCCAAAATCCAAAGAGTCACATCCCCTATACTTATTACCTAAAACCTTTTTCTCTGACTCTCCAATCAGTAAGCATTTCACTAAAGATCCCCTATATCTTCATAAACCCCTGCCCCAAGAGGGGCTATCTAGGCTCCTAAGTCTATTCCTGGTTGGAATACTTTAGGTGTTGATTGGCTCATGAGGGTTGTCAAAGTGCCTTAAGGGCTGATTTTGGGTCAAGGATTAGGCATCTTTGGGTCAAGAGGTTTAGATAGTAAGTATGTTGGGATAGTTTCGATTAGAGGGTGTTAAGAGGGGTTTTGGGGTTTTGGGGTTTTGGGGTTTTGGGGTTTTGGGG